TAAAAAATCTGTTTCTAACATGCAACGGGCGCTGCGATTCAAATGCTCCCTTCCTGTGAGCAGCTGGAGGGCTCGCTCACTGTGTGTGTTTGTGAGTGTTAAAGGTGTCACTGTCCAGAATGTCAATTATATAACTTGACTTTAATTTCCTTTGGCTTACAGTCCTCACAGACACACAAAGCTCCCAGTGTCCGGTGCCGAGGTCTGTTTAGTCAGCGTTCCTGCTCCCACTCACAGTCAGTCAGCTGTGTGGGTTCGGGACGGAGCTGACCGGAAAATAGTGACAACAGCAGCTTCAGCTTGTAAATAACAGAAATAGGGGCTGGAATTTCATGTAAACATCACTCTGCATGTCAGACAGACACTGCATGTCATTGGTCCAGTAAATGTAAGTGACTGATCAGTGTCACTCAGAGCATTTGTTGTCATTTTGTGTTTGCCAGAAACAGGTTTTAGTCATGTTGTTTGTATCTGGCAGTGACATCAGGATTTAGCATAATGCCAGCAAAGCACTGAATTGGATAAAACTGGCAAATTGTGTTTACTGTAACCCTCCACTGTTTCCAGTTTGTTGCCAGTATGGTGTCAGTTTCCATTGGATTTGTTGTAAAATGTGACAGTTCCCTTCCTGCGCAAGTGATAGAGGTCCAGCTGCTGCATCAGTACCACCTAAAAGACTCATATGTGGGTCATTTGTCAAAAATCTGCATCCTTTAATCTTCTGCACAGCTGCATCTTCTTTTCACTGAACGGGGGGCAGAATATTTCACAGCTGTTGTGTTAGATATTAACTGAAGTGTTTCCATTTCCTTAAAGATATTAAGTACGTTGTAGACATTCAATATAATAAACAAACAAACAAATGCAGTATTTACACCTCAGTTGAGAATAGGCCAGTGTACAGCCATTTATACATAATTAATGTGATTCTTATTTAGGCCTTTATATAACCCACAGATTAAATGGATAGACTTTATGACAGAAGGTAGTGGGAGTAATTCAGTAGCAGTCAGATCGATGCATGAACACCAGCCTACGGATGCTGTGGTTGGAAACAGTAGCTTGTCAGACAGCAGCGTGTGATACGAGTCAACAAAAACATTTTAAACTACATTACAGCACTTAAAATGGTTTTATTGTCTACAGGAATGAAAATTGTTAGATTAAACTGGTTTGCCTGATGGAGGCGCTACATTTAAAGGCTACAAAGGTCAAACAGGTAGAGATTTTATTTGAAATGATCCAAAGTAGGAGGAAAAATAGTTTCACGTCCATCACAAGAGCTTTAACTGGAAAATCAGTCTTTGTGTTTTAGTATGCTTCACCACACTACTATGACATGCAGTTGTTTGTGTCTGTGCGTGTGTGTGTGTCTGTAGGCCCTTCCACTGAAAGCACTCCAGTTCCCATCTCCTGGGAAACCAGTCTTTTATTGTGGCTGCCAGGCCTTTAGGGCACTGCTTTCCATACTGCACCCCCTCTCCTCCATCACCACCATGTTTATCACGATCACTTTATCTTTCATCCATACACAATCATCCCCTTCTACTCTTCCTCTATCAGTGGACTCATCTCTCTCTGTGGCCATCCTTATTACTTTGCCTCTCTTTTTTAAGTTCTCTATCTTTTCTCACCCCTTCTTTCAATCTTCTCTGAGATCGACTGGAGTCTGACTTGGTGCCAAATGATTTCTGTTCAGTGCTGAAACAATAGGCTTATGATATGCCTCAGAGAAAACCTAGATAGTATGATCATTTTTCCTGTGAATAACTGTTCTTATTCTCTTCTTTGATGATCATATATTTCAAAAACAGCGTGTTTAGAGCAATGAATATTGTTAGAACTGAGCAAAAGAGTTAGGATGGAGCACTGAAAGGCCATTAGACCATACATGGAAGATTTGGGTATGTTTTTATTCCCTATAAAGTTATTGACCAGCAGGAAAACCAAAACCTAATATATTTCTTTAAGTGATTTACTACCCAGTTTCTCCTCTTTGGACCAATTTTAGTGTAATCTGGTCAGGGTACAAATTTCTCTCCTCATTATTCTGTCCACTGTTCTCTTCCCCTCCTCTCTTTCCTCTCCTTCTTCTCCTATTCTCCTCCATCTCTTTGAGTTTGATTCTGTGTGACTGGGAGGCCATTGTGTCCTGCCATCAAACACATTGCATACATCCATCCATGCAGAATACACAAATGCACACACAGAGAGATGTTTGTAGAAGAAGCTCTCAGTTTGTTGATCCCATTAGACTTGCTCATGCTGCTTTTTTCAATAATCATGTGAAGGTAACCCATATTGTTGCTTGATACTTAGTAAAACCCATGTGAAAAAATACACTTTTCATTTAAAGTATACTTGAAATATGTGGATATTCATTAGCCTGGTTCCAGACCATAGACCCTGCCCACTCAACTGAGTAGGCTTGCATCTATGGTCTGGCATACTTCAATGAATTTGCGATTTATCTCGTCCAAACGCTGGACGGACCAATGAACGCCAGGGGTGGGGGCAGGTCTAGCGATTAGCCAATCAGCGCCACGCTGATGTCAAGCTGTACGCCGGTGGGTAACTGGTGAGGATAGCAACAATGGCGACCGCTACAGATCCTACAGACCACATTAACGATGCTGTCGAGGTATTTCGCCACTACTCGCGTTATTGGAGGATCAAATTAAGGAAGCTGCTAAACTGGATTTAATGGCGATGCAGCTGGGCGTGCACGACGACGGAGACATTTTAAACGGGCAATGCTCGCTTGTTTTCGGCACCCCCGAGGCATGGATACTAATGACGTCAGATTCTGGGTGAGTTGTTGATCTCTACTGATTGGTTAGGGAAAAAATCAAATTCCCTCCCCCTTGTAAATCGCCTTCAATGGAAGCCATGTCAGACTGAAGGTTCTGGGAGCTTCAGTCTGACACTCAGGCTAGATATTCATAAGAATACAAAAGCCATACAAACTGGGCAGAATTGATTTTATTTGGTGCAGAAATTTGCAGGTTTAGCTGAAACCTATCGTTTAGGTCACATACAATATGCCAAGTTTATCTGGTTACATCAGGGCACTTTAAAGAAGCAGACAATAGAGCAAAATCGTCTTAAAATCCCAAACTATAAGACTGAGCTTTATTACTTTAATTATAAAAATGTGTTTTAAAAATGAAACATTAGGAGCCAGTGTTGAAAAAGGGGTCTATATAAATCTCCCAAAGCACATGAACTGAGTACGACATGTACTGTACAGTAACTAACACAACCTGAAATTACCATTGCCAGAAGTTATCATTATCTTTTGTAAAGGAGGGGGCAGGGATAAGATCACAAATACCACCGGGCATTCATTTTGAAAAGTGCTCATTGTGCAAAATACAGTAGAAATCCCTAAAATTAGGTTAATTAGATCCATGTTTTTAACCAAAAGCCCTGTAGGAACATTAAATTCACCTTATTTTTTTATTTGTAGAACAAAGGACTGCAACTAACAATTATTTTCAGCATTGATTAATCTGGTGTTATTTTTTTGTTTAATAAAAGGTGAGAAAAGAGTGAGAAATGTCCATAAAAGTTCTCTAAAGACCCAGATGGCGTCTTCAGATTGCTTATTTTGTCCAACTAACACTTCAAAACCCAAAAAATATTCAGTTTACTGTCACATAAGACAAACAATACAGCAAATCCTCACACTGGGAAAGCTATAGCAAGGAAATGTTTTGGGTGTTTCCCCTAAAAAGGACTGAAACAAATCATCAATTATGAAAATGTTGTTATAAAATAGTTACTTTACTGTTTGACTAATCATTTTAGCTCTTTTCGTTTCCCATGTTTTATGTTTCCTCTAAAAACAGAAGTTCCTTTTCATCATACTTGAGTAGGAGAACTGCAAAATCATTCAAATATAGTTCATTTAAAACACATTTTTTCCCTTCCTCATTCAGTTCATAATGCTGGTGAGGTAAGTGGCTTACTTTAAAAAGCCTCTGCGTTCCATCAGTCCTTGCAGAACTCTGACAATCTGTTATATTCTGTAATAGATTTGTAAATTATAGATCCTCTGCTCACCTCTTAATATTTCATATGCCGAGCTGACACACTAAAAGCTTGGAGGAAGTTTTCTCTCTCCAGAGACAGAAAGACTGAATATGTGTCTGGAACAGTAACTCAGCAGAAAATACAAGACTGGGGTAATTATAAACGACTGTCCCCTTGTGCTTGAGTGGAAACTTTTAATGTCTGCGACAAAGGTTATGACACACATTCACTGCCACAAGCCTCATATGAGACTTGGTACTTAGTGTCTAAGGCAACAATACACCACTCAGTCAGGATGCTGTTTACCCTCTTGAATGCATTCTTGTTGGCAGCGGCCTTAGATGTGTTGGGGAAGCACGATGAGAAAGGATCTTTGTAAAGGCTGAATTCCTGCAACTAACTAAAGGTGCATGGCCAGGTTTTTCAAAAAAAGTGTTCTCCTTGATTGTAGTTTTAATGAAACCTGAAACATTTCTTCACTTTCCCTCTCTGTCAGAACTACTTCCTCTCTACCTCTTTGTCACAGAATGATGTTGTCAAATAAATCCGTTGCTCCTTCACCACTGGAACTGCTTTTGTCGCCTATGTAATCTTGATTAGACTACGCTCAAACCATGTGTGTTTTTCAAAGCTCAGTCTTCCTGTGCTTGTATGCAGCATCTCTTACAAATAGGTGACTCTTGGTGAAGTCAAAAGTGGGAAGGAGGGAGCATACAATGATTAGCATTTGGCAAAATATTATTTACTTTGTAGTGAAATGGATTTGGGCACAGTGACAATGGATATGCCTGGGGAAGGAGTGCTCAGAGCTGAAAAGATGGGTGGATTTCAGTTGGGCTGCAACTAAACATGACAAATTAGTCAGTCAGCAACATTTTCTTGGTCATTTTCTGCCTGTACAGAACTCTGTTAACACCTTTGTAATGTAATATTGATGTTAAATGCATTTTTTGTTCCTCTGGTAGGTCTGTGGCTGCCAACATGGGGTCGATGCGTATCCTCATCAAAGGAGGGAAGGTAGTCAATGATGACTTCACCCAGGAAGCGGACGTCTACATTGAGAACGGCATCATTCAGCAGGTAGACCACATTTACATACAAATGCATTTTTACTCTATCGCACATGTTACACACTGCATCCTTAATTTCTCTTTACACATTTCTGCCTTTCATGCACCAACACACACACACACTCACTGTGACCCACACACTCACTGTCCGGTGTATCCCCAGCTGTTAGTGTGACTCATTTCACAATAATACAGTATGAGGAGAATGAACTGCTCACTGAACTCAGTGGCCCCACATGATGATAGTGAAGGCTATAATTAGCCCACAGAATGTTGTCATGGAAATAAGCATCAGTTCACGTGAAGAGGATGCATTTGACTCAGAAACCTGGAAAGCTTAGCTGTACTCCTACTGAAACTCTCCACTGCCATGGCAGCACATGAGCTTTTTCATAGACTGTGTTAATGCTTATTTCCATCAACTGTATTGTTGAGAGGATCCTGATCCATTATGTTATGTTTAAAATGGTTCCTCAGTTTTGAATTATACTGTAACTGAAATGTTACTTTTAAGAAGGTTTTAAGAATGTTTTTAAGAAAATTCTATATATTACCATGCTCAGGGAAACAACCCTCAAGCTGCTATAAAGAACGCGGCGATTCCAGGACGCATAAGATGCCAGCAGTATTGGAAGAACTTAAGAAAAACACGTGAATAAGATTGTTTATTCTGATTTGCTGGGCATTGTGTAGGTGAGAATACACGACAAGGTGTCCAGATATTTAAAAAAAAATGTCTAAGTTGAAGGTTAAGAGCACTACAATACAAAGGAGAGTCATGTTTCTCTTCCAGCTCCATGATACTTCCACTCAAGCATGGAGGAGGAGCCTATTAACAGCTGAAATGAGTAATATTAGAGTTAGAAATTAATTTAAAAAAGGTAGTGAATTTAGGTGTTGTGGTCACCTGATACAAGGGTTCGAGTCTCCAGTCATGTTAGCAGCTCTGTGAAGTGGTACAAGGGCAAAACAGGGCTTTAAGCTAATTGCATAAGTAAGGGCAGTCCACTTTGAGTGACAGGCTATCTGCAAGGCGTCACTTCAGTCTATGAGTCCGATCCACCCCTTGCCCCTTCCACAGCTCCACCCTCTCGTTCAAATCTGGTCACTTAAATTGCCAAACTCGAGGCTTCAAAATGGGAGTCCACAAACCAACGGGTGAGGTCACGGTGGTTACATCCATTGTTTATGTATAGTCTATGATGCTTACATCCTCACAGTAGCAGTGCTGACGTTTAGAATGTTTACCATGCTCACAATCTGTTAGCATGCTAACATTTGCTCCAAAGAAAAATTAAAGCTGAATGTTGTCTCTGTGGCCGTGGTATAATATGCCATGTAAAACCTGTCTTAATCAAAGAGCCTTTGATGGGTCCTCTTTAATAATCCCACTCAGTCTCTGTTCACAATTTAATGGACTACATAATTTGTATAACCTGTGCTCTCTCTGGCAGGTTGGAAAGGAACTGATGATACCAGGTGGGGCTAAGGTGATTGACGCCTCTGGAAAGCTGGTGTTGCCGGGCGGAATAGACACCAGCGTGCATCTGCAGCAGACTTTTATGAACGCCAGCATTCAGGATGACTTCTACAGTGGGACCAAGGTACACACAGACACACACACACACACACACACACACACATAGAACACACACATACAGGACTGTGTTAGGACTAGGCCTGTCATCATGCCTGTGATTAAACACATTTAGAAAGCAGAGACAGCTGTCACACACAGACATGCTCTCACTCTCTTGTCCTGTCTACAGGCTGGTCCTCACCCTGTGTTCAGCTTCATACGTTCATCAAAACTAATGACCACATGTGTTGTCACACTCGGCCTATAGGAAGCAAACAGCTGTCACTAGTTTCTGTTTGAATCCTTCTCATTTTCCACGCACACAGCTGTTCAGTCGCACTGGGTTTATTAGTTCATTTCCTATGGATGCTCAGCATGTTTTCCACTGAGACTCAGAGCAGAGTGGATGATTTAATAATTAGGAGACTTAAAAATTCTGAAGAGGGAGTGTAATTGTTGCCTGTAGCAGTACGTGCTGAAGGATGTTGTGGGCTGTTTTTGTTGTTGTTGAGATATTTTTATCACTGGGGGGTTAAAGTCATGGGCAACCACTGGATATATGAAGATGTCGCAGTTTTTGTACATGCAAGGTACAAGAGATAAGAATTGCAGCTCTTGTGATTTAAATTGGGATTTAGATTTTTGAACAGTAGTTTGGCCAAACACTCCTGAAAGTCCTTTTAGTTCCATCCGCGCAGCCACAGTTTGCATGTTTGCTTTCATTCTGTTCAGTACTATTGCAGCCCTGCAAGTAGAGCCATTAAATTTGCGTATGTAAGATTTTGTGGTAAACAATATTACCTGCAGGATTTTTGCAGTGCTGTATCTTCATGAAATGAGGTCTGACTCTGATGGAATGCCAACTGAAGTGCAGTGAGAGGAATTTGGGGGGATTGAATCGTCCATATGCCAGCTTTACCCCGGCAACAACCCCCCCCCCCCAAATATCAACCCCTACCCACTGACCCCGCTACCATGACAACTAACCCCCACTCTTAATGTGGAAATCAGAGGGGGCAAGTGTGTGTGTGTGTGTGTGTGTGTGTGTGTGTGTGTGCGTGCGTGCACGCATGAACATAGCAGTATTGTGTGGTCTCTATGGTGACTGCGTTGCTGCGGCAACGGCTCATGTGCAATTGTGATGAACCCCAAAACTTTTTCTCTCCGCATCCTCTTCCCTCCCTCCCACCGTTTTGTAACAGTTTGCTCCCTCTCACACTTTCCGTCCTTCCTCCTCTCCTCTCTTCCCTGCTGTTTCCTCTGCCTCACCCCCTCCTGTGTCACCCATTACTCCCCTCTGAGCTCTGAATTGGATGACTGGTGGAGAACATGCAGTGTAGATGCAGAGCTGTTTATATTTGCAGTTGTGCACCTTGTATTAAGGTTTTGTGTCCAGATATTGAGCTGTATTGTGTGTACACTTAACTTTAACAGATCTCACTCAGATAAACACACTATCAAATACATTAGTCAGGAAAAGAATACATGTTTTATTCAATGTAAGAGTTTGATAAAGCATCTGCTGCATGCTGAAATATATTAAATTTCTTATTTGTACACCTAAAACCCACAAACAATATTTAGGCTGGTTTTAACTCAGTATTTGCACGGTGTTTATAAGTATAGAGACCTTTAATAATTTCACAAATCTCCTACCAGACAGGAAGATGAAACTTGATGAGAGTTTTAGTTGAGTTGCCACAGGAATTATTAAAGGTATACATTTTTGGGGCTTTGCAAGCGAAAATGATCAGTGTTTTTTTTAACCACCTTTAAAACCTGAAACCTCCAACACTTTATTTGTACTATTAACTACCTACAGAATACAGTGTACTGCACACACTCTGTACTTAGGTTTTCTTAGGGTCTTTAAAGTGCAGTACTGATCAATCATAGTGAAAAAAATAGAATTTCAGATTTTATGCCATGGATCAGATCAGATTTGCTCATGAAGGACAAATATTCTGCTAAAATGGCAGATCAGCTCTGTGTCTCTCCCAGCATGCCGTTTAATGTCTCTGCAGGCAGGAGAGGGAGATGAGGGCGAGGAGGAGGAGGAGGAGGAGGAGGAGGAGGAGGAGGGGATGAAAGGTGTTCAGCAGTAAAGTGAAGTATGAGAGGTGCTGATAGAGGCTGATCAGAGAGCTGCAGTAGTAATCTGTCTGACACTGATATGCACTCCCAGAGTCCAACATACAGAGATCCTCTCATCCCCTCAGATCAGTCATGTCCCCCCTTCTCTCTGTCTGTTTCACTTTCTTTTCAGGGGATTATCTTCACAGTAGGGGTCGGGGGTCTTTAATAGAGGAGGGGATTCATGATAAAACAATGTTTGGGGTTTATGTGTCACCATCCACTTTGGCTGTAATGTCAATGATCAGGAACATGTTTAAGAAACCAAAGGGGGAGCCATCATCTCAACTAAGTCAATGAGATGATGGTGTGTTATAACAGGATGTATAACAGAATCAGCTACACCATATGGATTGAAATGTGTGTGTTTTCTTACATTATGGTCCATCAAAATACATCAATTAATCTGTTTCTGTCATCTTTATTGAAATGTCTAAAAACTGCATGATAGACATCTAGCCTGGCCTGGTTTCTACACCGCATGATGGTTTTATTCTGCTCAGCAACACCAGTTACAAATAGTTTCGTCAGAACAATACCAGCTGATTACGTAGTACGACCTGCCTGTCACTGATGATTAGGTATTTGTTTGATCTCTTTAGCACATTTGTAAAGTAGAACAGTCTAAATTTGGATGTTTATTCGGTGACTGTAGTTCCAGAGTCAGTCTAAAAAAAAGGAAACAGGGCAGGATGAAAGATATTTAATCCTGCAGACAGTTTCTTTATTTCAGCTTGGCAGAGAAAAGTCTGCTACTGGCCTCTGCAGCCCTCACATTTATGAAAATACTCCACTATAATATTTAGTAATAAAAATATATACATGGCTTCACAAGGATGCAAAAACACATTTTTATCTCCCTTAAGCTCTTCTGTTCTGCTATGCTGTTTCTTTCTCTTTCTCTGCTCACGCAATCCCTCTTTTTTGAGAAGTGCACTGGCAGTAAATCTTAATTAAGGCCGTGCAGACAGACACTATAAATCCCCAAATCCCCAGCTGTGTCCACGTCCCCTGATCTCCGACACACACACACACACACACACACACACACACACAGACGCACGCACACACACACACACACACACATAGACACACACACACACTGATAGTGACAGTGATCAATAACACTCTTAATGCACACACGTATGCAGAGACCTCTGATGCTGACGCTGCAGATGATTCAGACTGGTTACTACGGAAACCTGATAGCTCGTTGGCTGGTGGAGCTGTCATTCAAAAGAACCTGTCTGTGTCTGCAACACGTCTGGAGCATGGAAGAACAACTCCATGCTGACACTTAAACCAGGGCTGTGTTCAAATTTAGGAGCATTTCATTTAGGGTATGTCGTAGAAATAATATAAAATGTAAGCCATTTTGTTTTGCTTTTTTATGATATGAGCTTAAAATGAATTGACAAAAGTCTTCAGGAGCAGGGCACATTACAAAAGCAATGTTTGTAATTTTCTCTGTTCATTTCCTGTTTTATGAACAGTTTTTCACATCACACCTCAGAGCAATATTCCTGTTAGACTCTGTTAGAGGATATTGAATGGGCGACTGTCAGTGTAATTCTGGGTGGAGGACGTGGAGGAGGAAGAGGAGGAGGAGGGTGGGGACATGTGACAGGCATGGCTGAGCAGTATCTGTTGTCATGGCTACACAAAAGTGCATTTACCATTCAGCCGACTCATGCGAGTCACTGCAGACCACTCCCTTCACTTCATGAGTCCTCCATCCTTCCTCTCATTCTTTTCTATATCTTGTTCTCTCTAACTTTCTCCCTGCCTTCATCAGTCCCTTTCACATCCTCTTCTCCTCCCTCTCATATTTTTTGGTTTGTCTTAGAGTGTGAAAAACAGGCGTCAGGTTCAGAAGTATTACAGATTATTTTTGGCTTTCCTAAGAAGGAGACTTTTGAAGTTCTTGCAAATGCTCTCCTTAGGTGCGCTTTACTAACGTTTTCTTCTCCTGATCTCATTTTGTATGGTATTTGTAAACCTGAAGCACGGAGCGGTTTCTCTAAAGGGAGCAAATGAACAACATTAACTGGATGCAGTGAAATGGAATAAAATTTCTTGATACAGGAAATATAATGAGAAAACAAATCTCTTTCCTCATTATCAGCTGTGTTGATTTTAAAACAGATGCAGACTGAACAGAAGGTACAAGAATCACATATCTTTTCATAAGCCCTGTTCGCACAGGATGAGTAGTACCAGGGGATCTCATGTGGTTTAGAAATGACCTTCTCATATCTCTGTGTTTCGTGTGGAGCATTTGCACGGGATAAGCAAAGTCTGTTTTTTACCCAAATTTATCCTTGCATATGATGCACACAAGATTTTGTAACTCCACTCTACACAAGACAGAAACATTACACAGCACCACGAATGATGACGCACAGTGTAAATGTCCTTTATTTCTTTTCTTTCTTTTTTTTCAAAATGCGGATCAAACAAACTGGTGCTGCCACACATTGTCACGTCGTCCATTTTATTATCTTTTGAGATTTCACTTTTCTTGATTTGAGTTTTCTCTTTCAGCAAATTGGTCTCCATGCAAAATGAGCCCCCTGCACCCAAAATGCTGTCAAACCTTCATTTATAATTGCCAACGCAGCCTCCATAATTTTTGTTTGGGATAGAGGCAGAAAAGAGGTGCGGAGAAACAAAACACCTAAAAATAACCCCAACTCACAGACATGCCAGTTCACACACGATTAATATTGTCCCATGACCTATGTTTTGCAAAATATGGTAGGCTGATATGGTAGGCTATTTGCTGTCAAATTTTTACTTGCACAATTATGGACATAGCAGATTTACACAGGATTAAGATCACACACGACTTCTGCAATTATTACAAATGACCAGAGATCCTCAGGTGATGCTAGTCTTGTGTGAATAGGGCTCTAGAGAGCAATATGAGAAATTTAGATGAGTTAAGACTTAAGATGTATGCAGATAAATGGAAACTGTTTTTTCCATATAGGATTTCCATATAGGATCACAGTACACTGCTATGCATCAAACATCAATATATTTTTTTAATTGTACACAGAGAATCAGAATAATGAAAAGAAATGCTACAAGCTTAAACTAACTCAATGTTTTGAACATTTTGAACAGCCAAGTCAGTGTTTGTGCATCATCCGTGTTTGAAAAAATCAGTTTACACAACTTGTAACAAATAGACTTTATGATGAAGAGAAAACAGTCCATAAGGAAGGACTATTGCTCATTGTTACCAGGACAAACAGTGTCTATGTGCTTTACACTGGAACCATTGTTCTGTACTCTAATCAATCTCTCTCTTCTCTTCCTCTGCCTCCCATTTTCTGTCTCCCTCCTTCCTTCCTCACCTCTCCTCACCCCCCTTTACCTCACCCAGGCAGCTCTGATGGGTGGTACCACCATGGTGATGGCTCTGGTCCTGCCTGAACAACACTGCTCCCTGCTGGATGCCTACGAGAATTGCCGAGCCCTGGCTGACGCTAAGGCCTGCTGTGACTACGCTCTGCATGTCGGGGTGACTTGGTGGGGGCCAAAGGTAAGACCCACAGAGAGGGCAACATGTGAGATGCAGTGCACAGCCATAAAACACTCATATCTTTGTCGTTTCTAAACAGATATCTTTCTTTGTATGTTTTACTCCTCGAGCTTTTCTCCTCGCTGAATGAATAATAAATCAGCCAAACCATTTTCATTTATGGGTGAAATGTGTAATGACCTAGATTAAACCTTACATGAACTAGGTTAACACACATGCTCAGTGGGCACATTAGGCAGATTCTATGAGTCAACGTGTCTCATTTAGCCTTTGGCTTTAATATCTGTGTTGTATCATCTGCTGACTTTATGCCGCATCTTATTACATATATTAAAATGTTTAACTCTAGATTGTCTGAACTTATCTGTTAACAACATCCTTGTAATACTATGATGTAATGGCAACTAGGGTTTCAAATAAGTGTTATTGGCAACTAACTGATCAATTATTATGTAAATTAAAGGTCAGGAAATATTTTAAAATGTCCATTTCGAATTTCCAGTGCCTCTAAATGATGTTTTGTGTCTCATTTGTTCGATAAAAACCCAGAGATATTCAGTTTACAGTGACTCAATGATGTGTTACTATCTCTTATACATAAGCAGTGTTTATAATAACTTACACTTAAATAATATAAATTGATTATTAACTCTTTATTAACACTTTATATGAATTTTGATGACTCCTTTCACTGCAGTGTAGTTTAAGTATTTTATTTGCTTAACACCATATAGTTTCTGTGAATGCATTTTGAGTGAATTAAATACATTTCTATGTGGTGAATGACTGCAATGTGATCTCACTCTGGCTGCTCTCCAAGCTCATTTCATGCCCCATATAACAAACACACACACACTAACTCACACACTAATACACACAGTCTCCCTGCATTACATTAACACTGGCTGATGCTCTTCACTGTCTGCCTTTGCCAATACAAACCACAACTGTCTCCTTGACCTCTGACCTTTGTCCTGTGATCAGGTGCGCAGCGAGATGGAGACCCTGGTGAGGGAGCATGGCGTTAACTCTTTCCAGATGTTCATGGCCTACAAAGACATGATGATGCTGAGGGACTCAGAGCTCTACCAGACGCTGCAGACCTGTAAGGACATCGGAGCCATCGCTCGCGTCCATGCTGAGAATGGAGAGCTGGTGGCAGAGGTGCACATCAGATAACCAATCACATATTCCTCCATGTTTTACTTTTAATAAGAGATGTTCAGCACAGCCAAAATGACTTTTTATGTCTGTCATAAAAGTTCATTCATTGTGAAAAATATTTTTATGCCTGAAATGATATACACAAGCTATTTTGGCCACTTAATGTAGAAAAATTACAGAAGCTGTGGTCATCTGTATGTGTAAGAAACAGTTTCTGAATTAAACTGAATGTGTGTGTGTGTTGCTAGGGTGCCAAAGAGGCTCTGGATTTGGGCATCAGTGGACCAGAGGGTATTGAGATCAGTCGACCAGAGGAGGTAAATTTACTACAGAGGGTATTTCTTGTCGCTCAGTTATTTTTCATTACAGTATTGCATTGCCAGAGAAGTTAAGTGAATTTAAAGCAGTTTGGATTTTCTGTCTTTTTTTCCCTTTGCTTGAAATGTTAATAATAAAACATAAATGTAAGGGTATTGCTGTTGCTGTGTTTTCATCACTATGAATATTAGAAAGGGAAATTGGAAGCCAGAGTTTGACAAAACATGTAGGAATGATGATTTCTGTGGCTCAATTTGGCATTTAAAAACAGTGACTGGCTGGATGGAGATGATATCGCCATTTTTACATAGAGATCCCATGATTGGACAGCTCTTTTTACAAAGAACCAAACAATGCAAGCATAATGCCATCCCAGTGTGTGATTTTAGTTAGCATACTGACATTCTGGAAGCAAGAGAGGCATGACAGACATGACCTCTAACACAATACCGTCAGCATTTTATGTCACATAACATACGTGTCGGGCAGCACTTTCTTAGCAATAACAATGGCATAACATGGCAACAGCAATTTACATCCCTGTTATATGGTGGTTGATCTTGTTCTTTGCTCAGAGGGTAAGGAGCTCCTGGACCTCTCCCCAACTTGCAGACCTTTTTTTTTCAGTTGCTTTTCATCTGTTTTGAGCTAGCTGCTAACTACTACTTAGTGCTTTTAAAATCTCTCAGTGGTGGGTCACATTGTTTGCTAGGTTGCACATGTCGCACTTGTCCCGTCTTACCAATTGTCCCTTGTATATGTCAATTTGGCGCCGTTGCTACCTCCACTGCTGGCTTAGGGGCGGAATAGCTCTGTCTCCCCATTCAGTGTTGGTACCTTCTGTACAGAACAGTGAGGTGGAATTAAGGCACAACATTACCACCTTGAACAGGTTGTGTAAAAGAAAGAACTCAACCATGCTGAAGTAATTTAAAAGGTGAAACACAAAGATCCAGCTTTCCTGACTAATTGGTCTAAAGTGAAATGTATGTGAATGTATTCTGACCTTGACCACCCACATATTGTAGACAGAAGTTCATGAAAAGCTCTTAAATATAAATTGAGTGCTTATGAACATTCTCTGTCTTATTTTCTACAGCTGGAGTCTGAGGCTACTCACAGAGCCGTCACCATCGCCAACAGGGTAAACACAAAACCAGATCTCAATATCCTGTGTGTGCAGGTGTCTGTATGTCACAGATTAAACTAATGAATCCACTTGTGATTTCAGGCTCACTGCCCGATCTACCTGGTGAATGTATCCAGTATGGCTGCTGGAGACATGATTGCTGCTGCTAAGATTCAAGGTGAGCTGACTAAAAATACTAGCATGAAAACTGTGACAGTGGTGATGATATGAAGCAGACGATCTTCTTGTGACAAACCACTCTTCTTTCTGTCTCTGCAGGTAAGGTGGTCCACGCAGAGACCACAGTAGCTCATGCCGTGCTGAATGGGATGCAGTATTACCACCAGGACTGGGCTCACGCCGCTGCCCATGTCATCGTCCCTCCTCTCCGCCTCGACCCCAACACCCCCAACTACCTCATGGGCCTACTGGGAAGGTATGTGTGCAGACTGATAAAAATGTGTCCATAAAATACGGTACTGACTGTAGGAGGTCAATGACATGCACATCCTGTTTTTTTTTTATTTTTTTCTAGTGACACTCTGAGTGTCGTGGCATCAGAGCACCGTCCGTTTACCATCAAGCAGAGAGCTTTGGGCAAGGAGGACTTCACAAAGATCCCTCATGGAGTAGCTGGAGTCCAGGACAGGATGAGTGTCATTTGGGAGAGGGGAGTGGTACGTACACACACACACACTGTTTTGAAAATTCATTGGTCAAATATGTTGGAACCCTGTTACATGTTTTCAATGCAGGTTACAGGAAAAATGGATGAGAACCGTTTTGTGGCAGTGACGAGCTCTAACGCCGCGAAGATCTACAACCTGTACCCACGCAAGGGTCGCATCATCCCCGGCGCTGATGCTGATGTGGTGGTCTGGGACCCAGACGCAACAAGGTACGCAGTTGTACCACCAACACAGTAGATGTGTCGCTATGGCTTAATGTAGTGCAGAACAAACACACTGGTATTGACAGCTCTTCTGTTTGTGCAGGACGATCTCTGTGGGCACTCAGGTGCAGGGAGGGGACTTCAACCTGTACGAGGGATTGCGCTGCCACGGTGTGCCCCTGGTCACCATCAGCCGAGGACGTTTGGTGTGTGAGAACGGCGTGTTCATGTGTGCCGAAGGATCCGGAAAGTTCTACCCTCAGCGCACCTTCCCTGACTACCTCTACAAGAAGATGGTGCAGAGGGAAAAGGTGTGCTCACTTTCTATCACTCTGATTACATTATAAAGACAAGTTCCTCAAAAAGTTAAGCAGTTCTGACACCAGGGTTCATGTCATGCTTTGCTGAGTCAGCTGACAGCCAAACTCCTGCAAACACACCCGTCATGCTGTGTCTAACTGCACTGATTTGACAGTCTGTATAAAGGATTTAATGCTCCTGCTCTCTCTGCGCGCTGACACTGTTTTACAGCTGCTACTGCTGCTGCTGCTGCTGTCTGCAAAAACCTCTTCCACACAGCCACTGCAGGGCTTCTGCTCTGTCTTAGCTTCACTGGATGCTTTAGACTGCTAATGAATGTGAAGTGCTTTTTGATACTTTCTGTGCTGGGAATCAAGTTATTTATATATCCCAGAATGTCAGCTTTGTCTCACTCCATGTTTTTATACTCAGGGCTTGTTACTTATGAATAATTCATCTGTATATAATTGTGAAATTCAGATTGTACATGCTGTAGTTTTCTTGTTTTTACCTTTTCTTAGCTGTGCTCACTGTTAGATGTCTAAGTTTGTCTTGCAACAGAGATGCAACAACATCTGGGAGCGCACGTACAGAATATCTGGGGTCGGGTTTAGCTGGTTTGCTCATTTTAAATCTAAGCCTGTATCTGTGTATGTGTCTATACTGTATTTACACTCAACCTCTCACCTCCTATCTCTCTGTTTCAGACTCAGACTTATAAAGGGGTCGACAGGGATCCCTACTCTGGTGACGTGGCCAAGGTGGTAAACACCATGAAGAAGGAGCTCGGGCTGGGCCCCATAGACGGAGAGGCGGGCAACAAACCCTGTCCTCGGGCGCACCAGGGAGTTCGAGACCTCCATGAGTCGTCCTTTAGCCTCTCAGGTAGGCTGAAATAAAACTAACATTGTGGTTGTTTGGTAAAAACCTTCATAACTGTGATGATGTTGTTATGTTTTTCTCTAAGGGTCTCAGGTCGATGACCACATCCCGAAGAGGTCCTCAGCCCGGATTCTGGCTCCTCCCGGCGGACGCTCCAGTGGTATCTGGTAATCGCTGCTGCCGGAGCTTCATCCGTCCAAGTCTACTTGTTTTGTATAAATCTGCGCAACCAGGAAAACTGCACTGATTTTCAATCACAGGATTTAAAGTTAAGAGAGGAAAATAAATTGAAGCACTCGTCTGTGATTGGTGAAGACTTAACTGATGATCAGTGATCTGCCAAAGTGACTTTTACAAATCTAATTTGTGTTTTAATTGGAGAGACTGACCTGATTAATTATGTGAGAGTGAAGGGCTATCTATGAATTAAAAATGTTTTGCCAAATTCAAGCTGATCATACTAACATTGACAAAGTCTGCTCATCCTCACCCTGCTTGTATCCCGTAAAGAATCGCAAACTAAACTGTGAAAGATCAAAACCAGTACAGTTTTTAATGGTTTGAACCGAAGTGATGTCGACTGAATTATTTGAAAATAGTGAAACTGGATTCAGTGAAATATCTATTATACCCCCGTCTCACACACACACACACACACGCACACACACACACACACACACACAAACATACAGTACACTGTAGACACCATAGCTTTAGACTCATATGAAGATGTGTGTGGATTCTGTTTGTGATTAATCACCCACTTCGCTCGGCTTCCTGCTGCACCGTGGGTTCCCCAGACAGTGTTTTTATTTCCAATGGGTGAACTGTGCTGTGTGGTGATGAAATCCAACTGCTTCAAACACTGTGTGATTTTACAGCTACACTCTCTAAATAGAGTCCGACTCGACCCTATCCATCCTTTTGTTTTCACTGCCTGAAACAACACTCACATATCCCAAAAAAACATCCTGCCTCACCTGCAACGCAGCAGGGTCTATAGACTGAGTCACAGAAGTTTAAAACTTGTGGGCCAGTATTGATCCCACAACAGCTCAGTGTAATCTGTCATGAAAATGTGGCGTCTGTAGACCTTGCAAAGTGCTAGAAGACTGAAGAGAAGTCAGTTTCTTAAAGCAATGATGAAGAGTATGTGATTTAAAGATCAAAGTGGGGACAACAAGAGGAAAATGCTTTCTGTTACTGCTGCTGATAATACAGATCGTAATATGCTTGCGTGATTTTCATCAATGAAGTTTAATGCAGTGCCTTCTCTTTCGCTGAGGAGATCACTTAGAGCTTTCTGAGTGAAAACAGGAGCTGCTAAAAACACCAGGAGGCCTCATTTATCAAAATGTGTACAAAAGAAACTCTACAATTCAGCGTAAAAAGGCATAAGAAAACATAAAGAAAAAGTGATAAAACATCGCTAACAGCTCTCTGAAGCATTTTAGCGCAGAAGCTGGTGGAGACCAAAACAGTTAGAAGGAGAGTGAATATTGGACTTTGATTCATCAAGTCGCCATCAATGCAGCTTTAATGACTATTGTAAGGACTATTTCATGTGGAAAAAGTAGCAACTTCGAGAGAAATGGACAAACAGCAGAGACAGAGAGGTTTAAACAAGTGGCTTTCTTTAAGAACAAGAATGCTGTTTGATTTAAATGAAACTCATCTGAAAAGAACGATAATCCTGAGTATAAATTGTCAAATCGTAGGACATCTAATTTGACAAGTGGTTTATCTGTGACTACACTTGTCTCCCACCAGGGGCTTATTACACACTCATGAACATTAGTGGTTTTAAATGTTCGCATGTCATCAAGCACAAAAAGAATCTGATAAAACAGAGTCTCTGTGTGGAAACGAGTATTTAGTGTACAAAACTGTCCGTATGCACAAGTGATAAATGAGGCCACAGAATGTCAACAGAAGGCCAAGTAAGTAACCAAGAGAAGTTATGTTATGTTGTTGATTTTCAGTAGCATCTCGTGGGCCATATCTTGAAAGTGAGCTTCCTGTTTGTGGGAAAATAAAAGGGATTGGTATCAGAGCAGTGAGTCTCCACAGAGCAGGACGATTGAGCTGCACAGGCTAAAGGAAACCCCACTGATCCTCTCACCTCCTGACGATGTCTCATTCCTGCCTATCAGTATTATATTTATACATGAACACGTCTTCTCGTCTGTGAACTATATATTTAGTATGTTTGTTCTGTTTTTTTAGTTGAAAGAATAAATGTGCCAATGTGAATCACCCATGCCACACCCATGCATGAAGAGCACCACACAGAGGCGGAGGAGGGGTGAACTCTCCCCACAGGCTCACAACAACTGGTGCTGTTTTTTACTCTTACCAACAACAACATTGTTTTATCATTGGATGGTTTTGTTGTTTTGAAGGCACTGTGACTGGTCAGTGGCTGTGTGTGTTTGTAGATTCTTGTTGTGTTGGACAGTGAACCTGTTGAATCTGTAAGTGGCTGCTTGTTTCTTACCACGAATAACAGCAAAAGAATAAAGTGAGAAAAAATACATCTTGATTCTTCCTGTGTGTCAATGGTTTTTACTGAAATGCCTCAAAAGATTTGTGGTCACAGTTGTACTATTTATAAAAAAGAAAAAAAGTACAATTTAGCCAAAAATTAAAGGTGCAGTGTAGCATTTAGTGCCATCTAGTGGTGAGGTTGCAGATTGCACCCAATTGAAACTTCTCCCGTGTGTCAGGTGTGTGGGAGAACTAATGTGGCTGACACGAAAACACAAATGGCTCTGTTTAAAGTCAGTGTTTGATTTGTCCATTCTGGGCTTCTTCAGTGAAGGGTGGAGGACCAGCTCCATATGTAAATATAAACTGCATATTTTAAGGTAACAAAAACACAATGATTCTTATTTTGAGGTGATTATAAATAAATGAAAACATAGTTATTAATATTATTATTGTTTCTGCTAATATGTGCTGCTAAATCCTACACAGTGGACCTTCAATTAAGCAACTGATCAGTTTAAAGTTACACTCGAAAAAGGCAATATAATAATATAAAATCTATTACAAACTACAAGCAATAAAAATCTTACAGATTGCATGAAAACAAAAATTGTGACCAGACAATGAAGGAAGAAACCATTTATTATGTGTCACATACAAAAAATATACTTAAGTTTGAGTTGTCTAAATGTCTATCTTACATATTAGACCATGCAAACCTGTACAGATTCTTACCAAAATCCTTTTTAAACCCATAGGACAAACTCACTTCCTTGTAGGAAATCTCAGTGCTAGCTGGATGAAGCAATTGATAGCTTCATTTAGTTTGATGTAATCAGGCTGCACCCAGGATGACCTGCCATAAAATATATAGCAGGCTTGGATCACACTGGACGGCAAACTACATTTATGTGACTCTTAGTTACTAGTTTACTTTTTACATATATAAAACTCATCTACCCAGTAGTATAGGCTTCTACTTCACTTAAAGATCCTAGGCAGCAGGGGCGTAAACATGGACAGTGTAGGCGGTGCAGATGCACTGGGACCCATGAGGTGCAGGGGCCCGTAGAGAGAGTGGGCTCTCCAGTAATGTGTTGGGCGGAGAATGGGCCCTCACGAGAGACTGTCACCTTTGAAATAAGCCTGTGTTAAAAGATGAACTCTCATCAAATTAAAATTGGTGCCATTTGCTATGTATGCTCTCAAAAAGGCCAACACATCATCCCAATCTTTTTTTTGTAAAAAAGTCAGTAGCATCTATAAAAAAATAATTGCTTATTCTACTATTATTAAACTAACATTATTATTACTACTTGTCCTAATATTACAGTGTATAGCAGCTCTGCCTGTGGTTTGTCCAAATCATGTTGCAGCAGAGGCTGTTACTCAACTGCTGTGGATACATACAATCAGTGTCAGACACTTTTCTGTCTCCGTGACTTTCAAATGTATTAAAAGGTGGAACACTAGAATATGAGTGTTATGTAAGAGATATCACTGTTAATAAGTGTAAGTAAGCCTTAAAAATTGTCATAAAAGTCATGATGTAAGTCATAAAAAGGTCATAGTGTGTGCACTTTCCCTGCATGGCCCTCAATAAAATGCTGGCAAGCTAAAATGGCACTCAGTGATATGAAACTTTGAGAACACCTGCTCTAAGATTTTTGTCTCGAAATGCTCTAAAATTATCCGTTTTGCTGTTCAGTCTCTAAAAATTATCCTGGGGGAATTTCCAACTCTCCTCGTGGGAGAAGGTGTAGGTTAAATACGTGATTACGCCCCTGTCAGGATCTGAATACTTTCCCCAGCTCAGCATGGGCCGCAGTCGTACCTTCTCCCCATCATGTCCGCCCACGGGGACACCAGTTTCATCAAAAACAATGTGAAAGTCCTGCAACTGCCCCGCGCATGCGCACTGCGCCAGCGGCTTAGGTGGGAGCACAGTCTCGCGCAGCTTGCTGAGGCAACAGTCGGGGTTATAGCAACGGAAAAGCCCATCATCACAGACAACGGGACGGCTGTGAGAGTGACAGTGTCGCACTTCAGTGAGTATTATTAACTCGTCTTTACTCAAAACGTCTTTCTTTACGTTTCAAATCAGTTAATTTAACGGCTTGTTTCATTTACGCCCCACATAAATACTTGTGTCGTCCCGTGGCTGACAGTTATTCTAATGTGCGTGTGTGCCATCGCAAAGGCCTTCAGAGGAGGGGGACGGTAGGCTGAAACAAAAAGTCTCGTTTCAATTACACTTAAGTGTATTTCGAGTTAGCTAATGTCGCTACGGTGAAATTAAACCAGGTGGAAAGTCTCTAAATTCAGCAACCAGCAGCCAGTGGCGACGGACGCTAGCAGTGTTAGCTGGGGGCTAGCAGCGTTACAGTACAGTCACGCAGTGGCAGCAGTGCCTGTCGCACCGACCGCGGCTGTAACGTCAACTGTCAAAACACTCCGGTTGAGCCGTGAAACTGACCGTCACCGGGCTCTGGAGTTAGTCATTAACACACAAGGGGGGTTACATCTGTCATAACGTACTTTTATAACGGTTAGACCTCATTATATCTGATGAAGATAAGAATAAGCATCATAACGTGCAATAACTGTCAACCTAAGGCTATTTAACTGGTGGTCAGAGTCCCTTTAAATGGTGATACAATCATGTTTGGACAGACTCTCTCAGATTCTCTATAACCAGTAAGGTAAAGTAAGCACACTTCAATATACTGCATAAATTTCATCAGTTACTTATGCTATATATTAAGATATTTATGCTATATGCACATTTTGGAAATCTGAAATAGATCAGTTGTAAACTAACTGAGCTAACTCAGTCAGGTGTAACGTTACCTTTAGATTTTTAATACATATATACAATCATTACAACTTTATGACATAATTTGTAATATTATGGACATAATTACTGAACATTTTTGAATGAACCATATGCACTTACCTGTACTTGAAATTTGATATTGTATACATATACTCACCATAACACAACATGGGATATGAGTAACATTAGATCCTTATGTAGACCTTAATAATGTGTGGCATTGTGTGTAGTTTGTATTTTGGTGGATTCTAGATATCTACTTATTGATATTTTTATGTTTGAACTCTTTATATATTGAATTTTTGCCTACTTTGCGCTGTAACTGCTGCACAAAAATTTCCTTGAAGATAAAAATACAGCTCTGTCTTATCTTACATCATTTTATTTTTGTGTCTTAGTACTGATGACACAGCTGTTTATGACTATTAACTGTCTTTGTCTGCTTGGAAACGATCATATTCATAAATGAAGGCATACAATGTGGCTAGATAATATGAAAAAATCAGTGTATCTCTAACAAGCTTGACAAGAAACTGCTTTCTTCTGGAAGAGCGCATTTGATTTTTTTTTGTCAACTCTTTAAACAAAAATAGTGTTATTATTATTATTATCATTATTATTATTATTCATGAAATTAATTCTTTATAATGTCAAATATAATGTTAAATGTCAATAAATTGTAATTCTGGAGCTTTTTCTGTGTATATGTGCAGAAGTGTGTCTGTGATTTTCCCTGTTCTGCTTGTTTGATTTAGCAGCTTTACAATATGAATAGCCTACTGTAGTATGGCAGCAATACAAGAAGTATGTTAATGTTTTGACCCATCAGATTCTTCAATTTTTATCAAACTTCATCACACAATTTATTTTGATAGCAATTGTTATCAACATGGTGAATCTTTAGTATATAGGTAGGGCCACAAAATGTTATTTAGACCTCATCTACAATTAACAACTAACAGTTATTTTATTAATTACCTCCTAGATTCATTGTTTTATCTATGAAATGTCACCATATTCAGTTTAATTCCACAGAAGTCTGTGGGGAAACTATTACAGACATTTACATCTGAGAAGCTATAAGGAGATTCTTTGTCATTTTCATTATAGATATCTAGCATGTCATTGATTTGATTATCAAAATAGTTACCAGAACACTCTCTGTCAGTTGGCTAGTAGACTGTTTCAGCTCCAGTTACAGGTGCACTGCAAATAACATACACAGGTGAATACAACTGCCACATACCATAAAAGAGAAAAAAAAACAATGCTTGGTTAAGATGCTAAAAGCAGGTAAGAGTTTCCAAAAATACCTAAAACAACCTTAAAAGAGTTCAGATCCCTTAAAAATGGTCTTGAATAAACCAAAAATAATCAACGCTGACAGTTTCAAGCCAGATGTAACAGTTCAATAACAGCCATAGATATTTGGATTTAATGCACCTATTTTTAAGGAAAGAGAAAGCGTTTAAGAATTCCACATTATTATTACGACAGACTTGTGTTTTAATCAGGAGTTAGATGCATATAAACAAGTGCTGTGATGTGTTGAAGATCTGGAGAACCTTCTGGAAACGGGATCTGTCAGTTGGGAAAGTCCAGGTTTAGGGTTACACTCTTACATTCAGGTCTAGTCAATCATCTTTTTATAAAATCACTGACACACCAAGCAGGTTTTGCATGTCTGTTAGACACTTTTCTTAAGATAAACTAATAATTATTTTAATTATAAATATATTTATCAATTGTGTGGTCTGAGCAACTGTGCAAAACCCAAAGAGATTAATTTCATTGTCATTTTAGAAACACGAGAGCAGGAAACATTTAGCAGCTGGAACAGCATATTTCTTTCTCATGTTTGTTTTGACACTTGTTTGACCCTTACTCATAAGTATTTAATTAAAAAGTAAGCTAACAGTTAATAGCCAGTGGTTGTATTGACGCTGGTACTCTGTTTAAATCCGTTAATAATGGACTGTTTGTCTTCAACACATCTAAAAAGGTCTTCGTGAACAGATAGGTGTTTGTTCTTGTCCGCACAGTTTGTCTCCTATGTGGACAAGACCACCAGGGAGCACAATAGACTCTTAAATAAACCTTCAGTGACTAATTTGTAGTTTTAAATGAGTGAAAATAGATTTCAGGGCTAAAAGGAGACAGTGGTATAACCTGCAGATTCACCAGCCATAACCAAATCAGCAGCATCTTCCTGGTGTGCA